AATGCAATGAACATTTCTGTTTAAATTTTGTACAAAGACAGTATACCAATAGATACATCAACATGAACATTATTTTTGTAATTTGATTCAATATGACTGCCCAATGTCCAATTCTCATGTAACAGCACTAAATCATAATTTTTTACAAATCCGTCTCCTATTAATGGTTTCAATCTAATCTCAATGAGTTCAGATCACAAAATTTTGGATGGTGACTGTGTCATTAAGATTGACTTGTTATTTACAAATTATTTACTATAGGACCACCTCTACCTCCTGGATTCTCAAAGGAATCTTCCTCTAATGACAGAACGCAGAACACTGAGAAAACAAAACGGTTATCTGCAAATGAGGATAGTGATGATGAAGATAGTGATGATGATGATGATGATGATGATGATGAAGAGGTTAATATTCCAATATTTATATTGCAACAAAGCATTATCCTTTCATGATACCTGTACTATATAATGATCATTGTATTCTTGTCTTGTCCTTGGTGGCAGAAAAGTCTACCCATGCATGTGGTGTAAACTATTGCAATGAGGCATATTGTTCTAAATTTCTAATCACATTTTTTGCAGTCTTTAGAAAAGAAGATCCCTGCCACTCATGAAATCACACTAGAACATGGTGATAAAGCAGTAGGTATATTATTGCAATAATTCATATATGATTATTACTGTTGAATGATTGAATAATAAATTCTGTGCATCTTACAACTGAAATTGGTTTATTACAAACTTGTATTTGTGATGAATAGCAAAGAGTGGGGGGGGGGGTTTCCTTGTGTACAAAATCACCAATATTAATAATAATTGTTGCTATTTAGTCTAAGATTACTATATTATTATTATGATAAAATGATAAAATTGCATAATATTCAATGAATATATTTAATGAGACTATCATGTTGTTACCATTACCATATCTTCACTGATATTTCTCATTAAATGTCACAACTGTGAATTATATGCACCGTTGTAGTAGGATAACAAAAAAATATTACAATATGATTTGTTTTTTGTACATTCTCTTTTTATTCATTGTTTCAATATATTTCTCAGGTATCAGCAATTTGTTTGGACCCAGCTGGAGCTCGGTTGGCCACAGGAAGTTATGATTTTGATGTAAGGTTTTGGGACTTTGCAGCAATGGATATCACATTGAGATCTTTTCGTACATTTCGGCCCTGTGAGTGGTAAGTTATCGCATGTTTCACATCACCAACCTAGTGAACATTACATACTGTTCATTTAATATGTATATAATGACTATCAGACTACTTTAGATTTAATGTAATAATAACACAATTATTCACTGTGGTTCCTTGTTGCCTAACTTGTCGACATTTTGTAAATGTCATAATATATAGGTAGTGCGTGCAGGAAATGACTCATAATAATGAAACATGCAACAAAGAACGGAATGTGTTAAACAGACTTACATGTATTATCACTCAAACATAATATTTAAGCAAAAACAATGAAATTCTTGCCTACAATAAACATTAAGTAAGACAGCTCAAAAATTATGATAACGTGGGACACTCCTACAACCGTTTCAAAAGTCTTACTCTTACTTTGAAGTGTTTGTATTCTTTGTGTCTTCTTTTAGAATGTATGTTTTACCGACGACGTACTTTCTGTACGATACAATGTATATTCAATGTTATGATAGTTCAATGGCTTCTGCGATGATTGAACAAAGTATGTTTTATCAGCGACGAGTACAGCATTCGGAATGACGTTTTACGTTCGGTATTTAAATGGCCTTTACATTGGCTGATCAACAAAAACTTTGTGAACAAATGCCCAAATGCCAAGGTCCCAAATATCTTGTGCAAATGGCTTGTGCAAATCAATGTCAACAACTCCGGGTCATAGAACCCTAAGTCAATACTAAAAAAAACTCCCTAGCTTAGGTAAAAATAACAAATTCTGTCGCACAGAGTAAATAAATGCGTAAATAAATGTACAATCTCTATAACACTGTAAACAAGGGCATTAAAAACACAACGCAACAGTGGAAATAGGTTTCTTCGCTTGTGTAGAATGAAGGGAAGATGGACAATAACTGGAAAATAATTAAAACCAGGGTGATGTCTGTCACTTGCCATATGCTCCTCTGTAATTCTAATAGCGATATTTGTTGCGAGGAACATAACATGACAATATTAACAATAAACACTTCCACTATTTTATCTTTAGACGCAATTATTTTTCAAAATATTACCACAGCTAGAAAACACTATTATACATTATTTAAATATTGCTGTTTTATGTTCATTATTTCTTGACATGGAATGCAAACAATGGCAGAACTTTTCAAGAATCTGTTTTGTAAAACAATTTGAAAGTTCTTAATTTTATCCAAAAAATGCAAAAAAAATCAAAAAATTATCTTCTTAAAAACTGCTTGCTTGTTTGACAATCAATTTAGCATATACATGTAGTATCTCTGTTGATAGCTCTACACAGTTACTGAAGCAGATTTTGAAAAATGGCTTCTTTGACAGCCATCTTGGATTTAGTAAAAAGTGAAATTACTCTATAACTCATGATCAATTTGCCAGTTGAAACCAAAGTTGGCATACAACATCCGTTCAATGCGATGATTATGTGTTCATGAACATATTTCCCATGATTCAAGTGATTTTGCCGGCCATCTTGAATTGATCAAAAAACGCAAAAAACCTCAAAAAATGTTCTTCTTAAAAACTGCCCGCTTGCACCTATGTTGATAGCTCTACAAAGTTACTGAAACAGATTATTGAAAAATGGCTTCCATTGGCAGCCATCTTGGATTTAGTAAAAGAGAAAAAGTTCTATAACTCATGAACTATTTGCAAGACTGATACAATGTATATTCAATGTTATGATAGTTCAATGCTTCCGCGATGATTGAACAAAGTATGTTTTATCAGCGACGAGTACAGCGTTCGGAATGACGCTTTACGTTCGGTATTTAAATGGCCTTTACATTGGCTGATCAACAAAAACTTTGTGAACAAATGCCCAAATGCCAAGGTCCCAACTCTTTTGCCGTAAGGAGTAGTCTCAAGCAATTATCTTGTGCAAATGGCTTGTGCAAATCAACGTCAACAACTCCGGGTCATAGAACCCTAAGTCAATACTAAAAAAAACTCCCTAGCTTAGGTAAAAATAACAAATTCTGTCGCACAGAGTAAATAGATGCGTAAATACATGTACAATCTCTATAACACTGTAAAAGGGGCATTAAAAACACAACGCAACAGTCGCAATAGGTTTCTTCGCTTGTGTAGAATGAAGGGAAGATGGACAATAACTGGAAATTAATTAAAACCAGGGTGATGTCTGTTACTTGCCATATGCTCCTCTGTAATTCTAATAGCGATATTTGTTGCGAGGAACATAACATGACAATATTAACAATACACACACCATTATTTTATCTTTAGACGCAATTATTTTTCAAAATATTACCACAGCTAGAAAACACTATTATACGTTATTTAAATATTGCTGTTTTATGTTCATTATTTCTTGACATGGAATGCAAACAATGGCAGAACATTTCAAGAATCTGTTTTGTAAAACAATTTGAAAGTTCTTCTCACAAATCTCAGTTTCTTATACAGGCAAGGCGTAGATAGTTTTTCTATGTTTAGAAAAATAGTACATGTATGTACACTACTTTTATTCACATGTAGCATAAAACCAAGACTCATTAACTGCATTTATTGATTCATTACAGAAATGACACAGCCACTTTTATTAGCTCCGCTGTCGACGAAGTCGAGCAGAGCTTATAGTATTACTGATTGTCCGTTGTCGGCGTCGGCGTTGTCAACTTTACATTTTCGACTTCTTCTTAAAAACCACAAACTGTATAGCTATGAAACTTTCTAGGAAGGCACCTTGAGTGGTTCTCTCAGATTTGTTAATTTTGTGTGGATATGTTCAATTGTCTTATTTATAGCGAATATTTTTGTCATTTTTGGTCAAAAATGCTATTTTCGACTTCTTCTTGAAAACCGCTAGCCCAAATGCTTAGATATTACATATGTAAGTACTACATGTGGACCTCTATCAGATTTGTTCATTTCGTGATGACATCTTAAATTCTCTAATTTTGATGAATATTTTTGTCATTTTTGGTAAAAAGTGATATTTTCGACTTCTTGTTAAAAAACCGAAAGTCCAATTGCCTTGATATTACACATCTAGGTACTACAAGTGGACCTCTATCAGATTTGTTCATTTCATGATGATATCTTCAATTCTCTAATTTTCATGAATATTTTTGTCATTTTTGGTAAAAAGTGATATTTTCGACTTCTTGTTAAAAACCGCAAGTCCAATTGCTTTGATATTACATATCTAGGTACTACATGTGATCCTCTCTCAGGTTTGTTCATTTCGTGATGATATCTTTAATTCTCTAATTTTCATGAATTTTGTCATTTTTGGTAAAAAGTGATATTTTCGACTTGTTAAAAACCGCAAGTCTAATTGCTTTGATATTATATACACTACATAGGTACTACAGGTAGACCTCTCTCAGATTTGTTCATTTCGTGATGATTTTGTTCTTCAATTATCTAATTTTAATGAATATTTTTGATAAAAAGTTATATTTAGGGTTTCGAGCCCTATGGGGCGAAACCCTATTGTAATTGCTTTGATTATTATTATTATTCCGCCGTTTTTTGTAAGTTCTGTAACTTGAAAAATAATGCTGCGATTGATTTGCTATTTTGCATGCTGATAAAGGGCCATGAGTTGTGGTTCATACCCCCAAAACCAGCCATGTAGATCACATGACCTGGCCGCCATCTTAGGTAGAACACAAACCGGAAGTGCTCAATTGCACCACTTTCTGAGGGTCTAGGAACTTCCGTTTTTTGTGTGTGGCATCATTGGCTCATGTCTAGCAAATATCAGCAATAAAATCTTTAGGGGTCATTTGACCTTGGCCGCCATATTGGATTTTCTGAAAATTGACAAAAAACTTTAAAAATCTTCTTAAAAATGGCTCATTCATGTGATTAGAAATTTGTTTTGCAGCACCTATGGCCATAGCTCTACAAAGTTACTGAAGCAGATTTTTGAAAAATTGGCTTCCTTTGGCAGCCATCTTGGATTTAGTAAAAAGTGAAATTACGCTATAACATATGAACAATTTGCCAGATTTAAACAAAACTTGGCATACAACATCCACTCAATAAGATGATTATGTGTTCATGAAAATATTTCTCATGATTCAAGTGGTTTTGGTGGCCTTCTTAATTTTATCCAAAAAATGCAAGAAAAATCAAACAATTATCTTCTTAAAAACTGCTTGCTTGTTTGACAATCAATTTAGCATATAGTATCTCTGTTGATAGCTCTACACAGTTACTGAAGCAGATTTTGAAAAATGGCTCCTTTAGCAGCCATCTTGGATTTAGTAAAAAGTGAAATTACTCTATAACTCATGATCAATTTGCCAGTTGAAACCAGAGTTGGCATACAACATCTGTTCAATACGATTATGTGTTCATGAACATATTTCCCATGATTCAAGTGGTTTTGCCGGCCATCTTGAATTGATCAAAAAACACAAAATACCTCAAAAAATGTTCTTCTTAAAAACTGCCCGCTTGCACCTATGTTGATAGCTCTACAAAGTTACTGAAACAGATTATTGAAAAATGGCTTCCATTGGCAGCCATCTTTGATTTAGTAAAAGAGAAAAAGTTCTATAACTCAGGCTGCTAGTGTTTTTATACACTATAATTAAACATAATTGAAAAATCCTTACATGTACCGGTATCATACACATAAAGCAATGGGTCAACTTTCCAAATTTGTCTGCAATTCATTGCAAGCAAAACATCATGCATTTCTCATTGTGTTGGCCATGGAAGTTTGACCATCATATGATTACTGTATCAAACAATTATATTTGGGATCCTGACAACCAAAGACCAATTAAATGTGAACATTTCCTGTGTATGTTTTGCTGCTATCGTATGTTTCACTGCTATGGTATATTTCACTGCTATGGTATTTTTCACTGCTATGTTATATTTCTCTGCTATGGTATGTTTCACTGCTATGGTATGTTTCAGTGCTATGGTATATTTCTCTGCTATGGTATGTTTCACTGCTATGGTATGTTTCAGTGCTATGGTATATTTCACTGCTATGATATATTTCACTGCTATGGCATGTTTCAGTGCTACATGTATGGTATATTTCACTGCTATGATATATTTCAGTGTTATGGTATATTTCACTGCTATGGTATGTTTTAGTGCTATGGTATGTTTCAGTGCTCTGGTATTTTCACTGCTATGGTATATTTCACTGCTATGGTATATTTCACTGCTATGGTATAGTTCACTGCTATGGTATATTTCACTGCTATGGTATGTTTCAGTGCTATGGTATATTTCACTGCTATGATATATTTCACTGCTATGGCATGTTTCAGTGCTATGGTATATTTCACTGCTATGGTATATTTCAGTGTTATGGTATATTTCACTGCTATGGTATGTTTTAGTGCTATGGTATGTTTCAGTGCTGTTGTATGTTTCAGTGCTATGGTATATTTCAGTGCTATGGTATATTTCACTGCTATGGTATGTTTCAGTGCTATGGTATATTTCACTGCTATGGTATGTTTCAATGCTATGGTATGTTTCAGTGCTAAGGTATATTTCACTGCTATGGTATATTTTGCTGCTATGGTATATTTCACTGCTATGGTATATTTCACTGCTATGGTATATTTCACTGCTATGGTATGTTTCAGTGCTATGGTATATTTCACTGCTATGGTATGTTTCAGTGCTATGGTATGTTTCAGTGCTAAGGTATATTTCACTGCTATGATATATTTCACTGTAATGGTATGTTTCAGTGCTATGGTATATTTTGCTGCTATGGTATAATTCACTGCTATGGTATATTTCACTGCTATGGTATATTTCACTGCTATGGTATATTTCACTGCTATGGTATGTTTCAGTGCTATGGTATGTTTCAGTGCTATGGTATGTTTCAGTGCTATGGTATATTTCACTGCTATGGTATTTTCTGCTGCTATGGTATATTTCACTGCTATGGTATGTTTCACTGCTATGGTATGTTTCAGTACTATGGTATATTTCAGTGCTATGGTATATTTCACTGCTATGGTATGTTTCAGTGCTATGGTATGTTTTAGTGCTATGGTATATTTCACTGCTATGGTATATTTCACTGCTATGGTATATTTCACTGTTATGGTATATTTCACTAAAGGTACTATGGTATATTTCAGTCATCAGATCAGGTCCTTACAGTACAGTAACACTGGTGATGCTATTCTCATCATATCTGGCAACTCACAAGCTAAAATCGTAGATAGAGATGGGTTTGAAGTTATGGAGTGTGTTAAAGGTGATCAGTATATTACAGACATGGCAAACACAAAGGTAATACAATACCAAAATATCCTTCAATTTGTTTCTATTTTCAGCTCACATATGCAATGTACACGAGTAAACGAGTGTCTGTTCCATCAAAATCTCAAAATATGCTAGGCCAATCAAAATGAAATACAGAATACATTACATATTATGGCATACAATATTCTAAGGGCGGAAATCCAATGTAAATTAAATTTTTTTTGACAAGAAAATGTTGTTTCTAGAATATGACAAACTTGGCTCAGAGGACATCTTGATTTCTGTGCCATGCCTTGACCAAACACAGTACTCCATGATTACTGCTAATCTTAACACAACGTCTTCTGAAAGCCTCTATGTATAGCCAAAATGAATGAGTAAAAAAGTCTGTGGGAGATGTATTTTTTTTTACTGACCTGAAATGTGCTTTGTGATAACAAATGAGTAAACCAATTGCTAATAGCATGTAAATACAATGTAGCATCAAATTCATTTTTGTTCAAATACTGTAAAATACTTTATTTTAGCTGGAATTAATTTTCGCTGAATATACTTTTTGGGCTTTTTTATTTAAAAATTTATGATTTTTGATGAGTTGAATGTAAATTATAGGAAAAAAGGTATATTTGCTAGATTTTATTTTCACTGAATCATTCCTTCAGCGAAAATCATTTCCAAGCGAAAATTAAGTATTCTACAGTATGTTTACTGTTACACATTTTGCTTATTATATAACCTCTCACTTGCTTCCAATTATTGATTGTTTTTTTTACTCAATTACCTTTGTGTCCCCTATGGACATTGACCGGAAAAATTCCAGATTATTTTCAATTTTGTGAACCCGGAATTATTACTCACTTACCAAATCTGTGTTTCTACTCAACCATTCAAAATGTTGGTCTGAGGTTTTATAATGATTTATAGTGCATTTTCCGGCTTTTTTTTAGGTATTAGGTATTTTGAGGGTAGCCTGTCTGAAGTTCAAGTATGTTCTGTTTATAATTACCTGTAATTATATGCACACAATCACTTTTGACTGACCCTATATTTTCAGTCTCCGTTCGGACACATCTGTGTGTGTGCATACATACATGTGTGCATCTGAACCTGTATCTTTGACATGTCGTGACCAATTTCATTCAAACTTCACACATACATTACATACATAATATTATACATATACACATCAATTTGTTCTCCAATCTGATTCAAGATGGCTGAATGGTGGCCGTTTTTGTGCTGAATAATCATCAAAATCAAGCATTTCTGGCATTCCGGAACTAGATCACGGCTTGTTTACAAATGTATTTTGTTGAAACTTGATACATACGTTGGACATTATGGGACCTTGATGCACGTTATTGTGTTTTTTAGATAGGTGTCATTGGCCGACAGGCATCCATTTTGTTTTAATGAATGCAGTTCTAGTGCCATATTTCTGACATGCTTTGACTGATTATGTTCAAATTTTATATATTAATTATACATCATGTCACAGATATACAGATGTACATGTACTGGTTTGACGATGTAATTCAAAATGGCTAAATGGTGGCCATTTTGTGCTTAAAATCATCAAAAAATCAAGCATTTCTGGCATTCCAGAACCAGATCTCAATCTTTTATGGATGGATTTTGTTCAAACTTGGTACATTCATTAGACATTATGGGTTCCTGATGCACTTCATTTTGTTTTTCAGATTGGATTCAAAATAGCTGATAAACGGTCATTTGGTTTTAATGAATGCAGTTCTTACATGTACATGCTTTGAATGATAATGTTCAAATTATATATATTCATTATACATCATGTTATAGATATACATATGTATTGGTTTGACACACCGATTTGAAATGGCGGACTGATAGCCATTTTGTTTTACTTAATGCCGTTACAGAGTAATTTCTCTCAAATTGGACAAAAGTACTTGTTTGACGATCAGATACAAGATGTCTAATGTTAAAAATCAGCTTCTGGATCCATATCTCTGACATGTTTACGCTCCAACTATATTACTACGTACATGTATAAACAACAGTAACATGTATAACTAACAGGGACTGTGCCATGCATGGCTTGTTTTAGTTACCAGTAGCTTCATTCAGAATTGCACTCAGCTGATACAAATGTATATTCTGTATCTCTAAACTTAGCATTAAACATAATTATGTGTCAGTTAGCCAGCGGTTGGTGTATTCATTAAGCAAGCAAGTGAAAAAAAAGTGATTGGTTGGCTGGAAACTGAGCAAATAAGCTGTCAATAATAGTGTGATAGAAGCGTGAGATTCAGCAAAACAAATAGTGTTGTTTCATTTAATTTTTCACCGTAGTTGTTCTATTCTTATTGCAGGGTCATACAGCAATGTTAAATGGAGGTGGTTGGAATCCTAAGGTGAAAGAAGAATTTATTACATGTTCTAATGATGGGTGGGTATTTGTGATAGATAATCTACCGATATTAGACAGTCTTCACTGTGTCTCTTACCTTTATTTATTTCGCTGTCATCGTAGATGACGGAGCGGAGCTGTTGTTGTCCGTTCGTTGTCCATCAACAATTGCAGATGCAACTTCTTCTTGAAAACTGCCAACTCAATTGCTTTGATACTTGGTATGTAGGTACCTTGGGTGGACTTCTGTCAGATTTATTCATTTCGTGACAATATCTTCAATTCTCTATTTTTAGCAAATATTTTTGTCACTTTTGGTAAAAAAAGCCATTCTGGACTTCTTCTTGAAAACTACCAGCCTAATTGCTTTGATACTTAGTATCAAATTGAGCTTGTAGTTTCCAAGAAGAAGTGTGCATTGATCCACTTGGCTACCACAATTTTCATGTAGGACAGCAGAACTATTTTGACTGTTAGATCACTTGTCTTATCACAGATGAAGGGATTAGTGGCACTCGTCTTTAGTCAGGACATCATATAATAATAAGTTCTATTACACCAATGCTGTTTTATTCAATCACTTGTACATCCATGATACTGTTGCTACCAGCATGTGTAAACAACTAACCAAACAAACAAAAAAGCCAGAAACTTGTATTTTGCAGAATTTTTATTCTCACGTACAGAAAAAAATATCAGACAGCAAGAGATTCATTAATTT